TTTTTCCAAAACCTCAACGATATTTGATGCACTTATCGTATTAATATTTTTTCTTTTCTAATGTTAAGTCCAAAATGTATTTCTTATTCTAAAGAATAGTATATACAGTTGCACAATCAGCTAATTAGATATCTTGACAATTCATGATGAATCTATAAATATGAACAAATAGATATTTTTAAAAAATGAATTTATATTCAAAATGAGTTAAATATAATTTAGTATTTTAATTAACAATGAAATAAACAATGCATATTAAAATCTCAAATTTTAAGAAAAATAAAACATATCTCAAGTTAAACTTCTAAAACGAAGGAAAATACTAACACATTGAAAGTAAACTAATCTATATTTTTCATCACTCTTGATCAAATGACTAATATTGCAATTTGGATCAGCAAAAAAGCATATACATACAAATAATTCATCAATTGGACACATATTCAGTCAAATTTTTCTCCATTTTTTTCATTTTTCTTGATTGATTTTTGGCAGAAATTTACAAGATGTTTGTCGTACAATATGTACACGTTCAATGCCCTGTCATTCCACATCTGAAGCGACTTTTTTTGTGCTCTTTTTTGGATACGTTATTTTTGTTTGTTTTGTGCCTCTTAAAGTTGTTGTCTGGTTATTGATAATTTCGTCCATTGTTTCTTCCAAGTACACGTCAACGTCCAAATTCATGTATCATTGTTTTGATATTACATTTACTTTAGGTAATGGTACAAAATTAGCTGGACGTAACAATTGATTTTTAATCAATGATTCATTGTTTTGTTCAACTAGGAGTAGTCAAGATATAAGTTCCGAATAGTTTTTGAAACTAGAATCATGATATTGCAGTTGCAGGAACATATTCGAGACAATAAATGTGGGAAATGATAATTAGATCAGGATCACGCATCTGCATTACATACTTTCAATACTCATAAAATTCAAATTGCACAAATCGAACAAAACTCTATAACTGGACTATTCCAAAGATAGACTCTACATATATGAAATAGGAAAGTTTGATTTGGTCAAAATTATATTATTAAAACTCTTGAGCAAACACATATTATTAAGAGTTAATCAGCTCAAATAAATCTATTTTCAAAAGATACTATTCAAACCCATAGAAAGAAATTTAAATATCTTCATGTGGGACTTATTCAAATAGCTATCAAACATTTGTTTAGACTAGATCTAGACATTTCTATTCTTCTAACTCTTAGACAAGTGGCTTTTCAAATTCAAAAATTCAATATTATCCATTTTAAAATCAAATCTTGAAAGCGGTCCAGTCTTTTCAAATTTTTACCCAAATTTTACAATTAATGTTAATGATGGAGCTATTCTTGATGATCCCAATCTTCATATTCAAACAAAAATCTTAATTTTGGTGATCGTTTAAAAGCTTTTGCTGCGAAATATCTAATATATTCCAAGCTCATGAATACTCAACTCAATATTTGATTTGTTCGCTCATCTCCTAAGGAGGAAAGCCTTTTGGTAGAAGTCAACTCTTTTCGTTCAAACACCATGGTTCTTAAAAGAATACCATGAAATCTTCAATCTAGAGGACTTGAATAGGACCTCAAAATTCTATTCCTACTCCTATTGAAACTATTCCTGATAAAATTATTTTATATTGTGATGGACATATTAAGGTGATCTTGGACAAAGTTTCTACATCGAATAATCCTCGAAGGTCCTTTTCCACTAGATTTAAAAATAGATCAAAGAATCATTTTCAATCTACTAGGTTTTCAACTTTTTCTGATAAATTGAAAAGGAGTTGATTTTACTCCAAACATTCCAAAGACTCAATACACATCTGAAAAGAATAATGAATTAGAAGAGTTTGGTTTCACCTACTTTATCAAACGTGTTACCTCTTTTTAGAAGAGTGGATTAGCAATGCAATGTCATTTCTTCTACAACTAATAGAAACAAAATTGATCAATATCCTTCTGTCAAAAATTGTCAACATACTCTTAGAAAAATATTTTCAGAAATAGAAATTGAACGTTTATGGCAAAAATTTTATATTCTCCTAAAA